CTGTCGGCGAGGGAGAGGCAGGAGATCGTGAGGCTGCATATACTCCAAGGACCCGCAGGTACACAAGAGCAAGGCGGAGCTTGCGGCGATGTTTGGGAAGAGCCTGTCAGCGATCTCGAAGGCGCTGAAGCCGGAGAACGTGAGGAAGTGGGCGAGAGGGGGGAAAGGAGAGGGGGGCAGTGGTTTCGAGTTTGACGAGTAATTATTGATGTAATTTGCATTATTGGAAAGTTTTTCTTCAAGGAAAATAGATTTGATGCATGCATCTGAATGGAGTTCCAGTCCCCCCTGTCTTCCCCCGTTTCCCTTCCACTCCTCCCCCCTCCCTCCCTCCGTCCTTCCCTCTCACACCCTCTTGTCTCTTCTTCCGCTCTCTCGTTTATGATTAATCTTTCTTCGCAGTCGCAGGAGATCCATCTCCAGCAGGTGTGATAGACATGCACCACCTTCCCTCTCTCCCTCCTCCTTCTCCCTTGTCCCCTCCTCCTCCTCGCTGACTTTGTTTTCTCCCTCCTGCTCAGGCCATCCTCGTGGAGCGACTCTGCTCGGAAAGGTGACTCGACCACTTATGTGTGCAAGGAAGAGACGAGGATGCAGATGCTTCATCCTCTTTGACGACACTTGGCCGTCAGCATCGCTCAAGCATCATAGCGGCAAAGGAGGTTCACCACTCTCCCCTCCTTGCTCCTTGCTCCTTGCTCCTTGCTCCTTGCTCCTTGCTCCTTGCTCCTCCTCTCGTCCCTTCAGCTCATCAGAGTTTGCTGTAGGTCGAGCCCTTAGCTTCCTCCTCAGCCACGGCTTCGAGATTATCCAGCAGAGCGCTCCGAACGAGCTGAGCTACCTTGGCTATGTGCTTGTGCGCAGACTTGCGGAGGAGGAGAGGCCACGGGGTAGGAAGAAGAGACCAGGAGACAAGTGACAGAGAGCTGAATGCACTTGGGGCAGGGTCAGAACACCGTGAGGAGGATGATGATGATGATGAGGAGGAGGGCTTGGATGGGTCTATCGATCTACAAGTCGTTCGACCAGAAGAGGGCAGTTTGATTCATGGCGACGTAAGTGATGGCCATGAAGGAGGAGGACGAGGGCACGAAGAGGGCAGGAGGGGGATGCAGAGGAGGAGGAGGAGGAGGAGCAAGAGGAGGAATAGGAGAACAGATTGGGTCTGCTCACAGGAACGCAGGTGTTGACCATGGACGTGAGATTGTCGGGGGTGAGGGCAGGAGAGCACTCGCTCGTCTTCTACGACGAGATGGTGGAGAGGATGAGAGTGAATCACTGGGAGGACATGCAGCTGTACTCCTGCTCCTGCTCCTGCTGCTCCTGCTGCTCCTGCTTCTGCTTCTCCTTCTCCTTCTCCTGCTCCTCCCTGCTCCTGCTCCTGCTCCTGCTCCTGCTCCTGCTCCTGCTCCTGCTCCTGCTCCTCCCTGTCCCTGCCCCTCCTGCTCCTGCTCCTCCCTGTCCCTGCCCCTGCTCCTCGGGCTTCTCTTCGTTCTCCTCTTCTTGCACACCCTCTCCCCCTTCCTCCCCCTCCTCCCACTGACATGGTCGCAGGTCATGCGAGGAGGGAGGAAACCCTGAGGACCGTCAGAAGATTCAAGTAGGAACATCACAGGATTTCTTGTCCCTTTCCCTCCAAACTTTCCCCATCCCTCTCCTCCTCTTAGCTTGTTTGACCCCTTCCTCTGCTCATCCTTCATCGTCACATCTCTCCTCCGCTCCTCGTCCTCCTCGTCCTCGTCCTCGTCCTCCTCGTCCTCGTCCTCGTCCTCCTCGTCTTCGTCCTCCTCCTCCACTCGCGTCCCTCATCTCCATGTTAGCCCAGGTGTTACCGCGAGTTTCCGCTCGTCATGTACGGGGTAAGGGCTGGTCGACGCCTCTTCCTCCTTGAGATCATCGACAGGAAGTAAGGGAGGAGGAGGAGGAGGGGGGGGTCCTTGACCAGACGAGCAGGCACAGGAGCGTAACAAACGTCTCCCGGACCCTCACCTTCCATCCTGCCAGCCCTGAGCTGTGACATGGCGATAGGAAGGATGCAGCAGGAGGGTGGCAAGAAGGAGCACAAGGAGGAGGCAGGGGAGGCAGGGGGAGGAGGGATCAAATGTGCAGCCTTTGTTACTTGCAGGAACGCGCGTGAGGAGGGTCAGAAAGGTTCAATGAAGGGTGCATGGGGAAAGCGCTGCTCCTGCTCTCCTGCTCCTCGTTCCTCCTCCTGTTTTCATCGCTGGAGGATGGGAGATAAGGACGAAGCCACAGCCTCAACCTCCATGTCGACGATGCTTCCTGCTGCGCGGGAGTGAGAACAAGAGGGATGGAGGGCATGGAGGACACAAGGGAGTCAGCACGTGTAACCCGCTAGAGGAGGATGCGAGGAGAGAAACTAGCTTGAAAGGAAGAGACGAGAGGGAGGTCGGTTGAGGAGCGAACAATAAACAAACACAGCAAGTATTGGGTGCTTGGATAGCGAAAGCAGAGGCAAAGCTCAACCGAACACGACGAGCGGAGGAGCAAGAGGGTGGTGGGAGTTGGAGGAGGAGGAGGAGGTTGTGGTGGTGATAGTGTCTACCTTCAAGGTTGGTGTGATAAACTAAGTTGGGAGCCTCAAGCTTGATGGGAGACTCGACGGCATCGCCGCCGACGCGCGTCTGATGACCTGCAGGAGAATGAGAAGAGGAGGAGACGATGGAACAGGGGCGGGGAGGTACACGAGAAGGAGGAGGACAGGGAGAGAGGAGGAAGGATCACTTACTCAAGCATCCATCCCTGTCAATGGTGATGGTGACTTCATCGCTTCCAGCCCTAGAGCCAAAGAGAGTAAAGAGACCAGCAGCTCCTCCTCAACATAATCATCAACATGATCATCATCACCAACATTATCATGATCACCATCGTCAACATCATCATCATCATCATCGTTCTGCATCATCATCATCCTGCATCCTCCAACAACTTACAGCGGCAAACAAGCCAACACTCTTCCTCCTTCTCGGTATGAAATGATGAAATCTTGATTCGCCACATTGTCGAGGTCCTGAAGTTCGCACGTTGTCAGTGACGATACCTTCCCATTCCCATCGTCCTTGCTGCCTCCTTCCAGTTTCCCTTTCCTCATCTTTCCACTCTCTCCCACTCCTCCTCTCTCCCTCCTCCTTCCCCTCTTCTGTCTTCCCCTCCCGCTCTCTCCCCTCTCCCCTCCTGTGTCAACCCTTTCCCTCCATCATCCTTCTCCCTCCCTCCCTCCCTCCCTCCCTCCTCGCTCTTCCCTCGTCTTCCCACTCTCCTCCCCCATACATTGACAGTGCAGGTCAGCGGGAGCTCGCGGTCCATCGCCGTCCAGGGAATGATGATGGCCTCCGACTTGCTCGGCTCCTCTGCCGTGTGGAGGACAGCACATGAGTACGGCACCCGACACCTCCGAGCCACCCGCTCCCCCTCCTCCTGACTCTCTTCCTTCCCTCCTGCCGGCGCTTCCCACAGGACCGTTCGAGCAGCCCCGGCCGCCACGTTCCGCGAGTCTTGCAGGAACATGTGGATGTTGTCCGGTGATATGCCCAGCTGCTTTGCTAGCAGACGGCCCAGCAGGGCTCCGCAGTGAGACGCCCCGACAGGCGCGACGCCCCTCAGTAGCTTCACCTCCCCCTGCTCGCCTGCCTGGCTGATCAATCTGCTCGCCAGCCTCTCCAGGGACGCCAGGACGGTTCCTCTCTTCCCCAGCATCTCCACCAGCTGCGCGCGGCTCACGCGCAAATCGACCTGCATGGAGGTGTCGCGAGCTGAAGGGCTGAAGGACAGAGTGACGTGCGCCTCCTCCCTCTGGCTCAGGACTCGGATCACTTCCTGCGCCAGCTGCCTCAGGTCCTCCATGTCCTCCTCAGTCCACGTCTCACACTTGAAGTTGTACAGCCTGTCCACCTCCCCCTCCACCTCCTCCGCCAGGCATCTCGACACTTCCTCCAGCACACGATCCTCGCCCAGCTCCATCGCTTCCTCCGTGTGCAGCACATCCGCCTTCTTCGGCCCAACTCGTGCCAGTCCGATCGCGGTGACCTCGGAGCTGGACTCTAGCAGGAGGACCTCCATGCCTGCCACGTCGTACACGTTGCTGTACCAGCCGTCCACGAACTCAACAGCTGCTGCTGTCATGGAGTCGACCATGTGGAGCTTGCAGGATGATAGGCCGGGGACCTTGAGGAGCAGAGATTGTCTGACGTGCATCCTCTCCAGGAAGGTGAAGTGGGTGGGGACAGCGATGGCCACCTCCATGGACTTGATCAGCAGCCGCCGGCCCTGAAGCTCAGACGTCTTCGTACTCCCTCCATCCTCCCTGAGCACGTGAAGTGCGATCCGTTGAGAAGAGTCGCTGCAAGACGTGAGGGACATCCCGAAGACGATGCCTGTCTCCTCCACCTCCTTCTTACTTCCTTCCTCCGACAAGAAACCCGCACCTGCGCCGATCATGGCCTCGTAGAGCGACCCTAGCTGGACCTTGGCCTCGTCTCCCCCATCCCCCGTCTCCCCTTCCTGCTCAGCATCCGCGTGTTCAACACCCTCCTCCTCTTCCCACCATCCTCCTTCGTCGGTCTTGTGCTGGGCTGCCTCAGGTTTGGCCCCAGAGGCCTCGCGCTTCACCAGGAAGAAGGGCTTTCTCCCCTTGAAACGATGACCGTGAGCCTTCGACAAGAAGTTCTGCGCGTCCTGTGCCGTATCGAAGACGATCACTCCCCTCGACGAGCCTGCTCCCTCCGTGTCCTTAGAGTTCCGCACTGAGAGGATGTGAACTGACAGAGGCATCAACCCGACGGTCTTGGTGCAGAAGGTGAAGAGCTGCTGACGTGTGACGGCCGGGTCGAGGTTCTTCGCGTGCACGACGCAGTCCTTGGGCTTGGTCACTTTGGTTGTTTGCTTCCCCCCACGAGCACTCGGAGTGCTGTTACCAGCCTCCTCGGCTGCTGATTCCCCGCTGGGAGGATGGGCGGGAGACTCAGGTGCTTTTGCCTTGTCCGCTCGTCTTTCGTTCTGCCTGGAAGGAGTCTGGGGGTTAGCCCCTTGCTTCTTCTCCCCCTTGCCGTCCTCGTTTTCTTGATGTTTCTTTGGCTTCCTGTGCGCCATCGCAAGTCAACAAGTTTCAACCCCGAGCGTCCGACTCACTGCTGCCGGTCCTGCTTCCCTTTCTGCTTCGACGAGCCGTCCAGCATGACGATGTCTTCCTCCCTCGTGTCCTGACATCTGCCAAGGGAGCGAGTGAGCAGGAAACGAGGTCATCTCATCAGCACTCACGGATCCAGCTCGAACCCCTGGAAGCCAACAAGGTATCCCTGGGCAGTTCGAGGGCCCCGATAGCCAACATACACTTTCTGCTCACCATGTCACAAGCTCTCCTCGCAAATTTTCCGACCCGAAGTCATTCCAACCTTCTCATCGTAGAACATCGCCTTGCACTCAGCCCAGTTCGCAAACACGATGTCCGACTCAACGGTGTCCTGGGGTTCTTCGTGCTCGAACCCGACGAAGGATAGGAACCATCCGCTCCTGGATTGTCTCACCAGGACAGCATCATAGTACATCCCGAGGCCGTCTCCATAGTACTGCCAGCAGTCAGACGGTCAACCCAGCTACGGTTACTTGAAGTTACCAGGCCTTTGCAGATCATTCCCTCCGCAAGGGCCCCGGCTTCCACCCAGTAGGAATCCATATGATTGTGCGGGATGGACGTTTCTGAGTCCAAAAATCACTCTCACACGCCATCGCCTGCTCTTTCGAACCTTCGCGCTTCCCTCTCCTCCGGTTCGCGTTGCTCCTCAACGGCCCCTTCCTCTCGTGCAGCGACTGGACGTTCTTGCCGTGCTGGCCTCGCCCCTGCGGCATCTCATGCAGAGCCATCGGAGATTCCATCCCCTCCTTCGAGGCATGAATCGAGCTCGGAGACAAGAAGGGAGCGGCGTTGGGGTCCAGCGCAAGAGGACCTCTCGGCCCGTGCATGGCCGAAGGATGCTGGTGGACTTGGGGCATGGCGACGGCCGGTTGTCCTGTGGCTGCAGGGAGGGAGAGGATGTCCGCAACTTCTGTATCCTGAAGAGGCTCTCCTGGGAACCCAGCGAAAGAGACGAGCCAGCCCGTCCGGGACTTCCTGACGACAGTGGCGTCATAGAACTGCTCATCCTCGTAGTACTGCCCAGCAACGTCAGGTACAGTCACTTGCTTCAGATCATCGGCGTCACCATCGCTCTACATCCCATGCCCTCTGCTATGTCGAACGGGACTTGAACGGTGAAGTTCACGTTGGTGGCCGGCGGCGCGCCAGCATGGTCGGCGATATATTCTTGGTTCTGCCATAGCGGGATCAAGGTGCAGAAACAATAGATAGAAGCGGCAAGTTACAGGCATTCGTTGACGTGTCCTTCCTCTTCTCGGACCGGCACCGCCCCGCTCGGGGTAACCGAGATGACCTCCCCTCCTCATCTCGAGCTGCTTTCAGTTACACATGTCCTACGTACAAGATTACAATCACGACCAGTCAGATCAAGTTGATAAAGATAGCGGAGATACACAACTCTGACCCTCGTTCATAGTCTACGAGATCCTTGCTGCTCGAGTCCCACTTGATCGGTAGCTCAGGGAACTACCAGGAGATGAAAAGCATGCAGGGAATCAAGCATGACACGTGCTCTACTATTCGTATTCCCTCCCTTCGGCTCCTCCTCCTCAACCTGCCTCTTGGTGTAGCTTTATCCTCATAAAAATCTTCCTAACCTTCCCTACCTGTTCCCACTGTTCCCGCCCCCACTCTTCATCTCCCCCATGCCCCTTTCTCCCTCCCCCCTCCTCCCGCTTTTCTCTCTTCTCGCATTTTTTATCGTAGCCCCTCCCGGACTACACAGCCGCCATTTCAGCCACCCTACCCCCCCAACTCTCTTCTGACTACCCCTACCTCTAGCTTCCCAGCAACCACCCATGGGTCGTTATCAAATAGTCACCACGGTACTGCCAGACCCCTACCCCCAAATTCACACTATATTGACCCCCGATATATTATTCAAGTACCCCATGGCCTGATAGGTATCATGACCTTTCCTCAAAAATTCATACCCCCTACCCCCTTCAAATATCTGAGTACCCCTACCCCCTCTAATTCACCTTTTTACTCATCACTTGACAGAATCATCAAAATCGGTCGGACCCGCAACATGGCATAGCGTCCAATGAGAGAGCGAAAGAAGATGGCAGAGAAGATGAACGAAGGAAGATGAGAGATGAGAGAGGAGAGGTGAGCGATGAGAGAGGAGAGGAGAGGAGAGGGGAGGGGAGGGGAGGGGAGGGGAGGGGAGGGGAGGGGAGGGGAGGAGAGGAGCAGGAGAGGACATGACATGACATGACAGGAGAGGAGAGGAAAGGAGAGAGATGAGAGAAGGAGAGATGACAGGATATCAGAGGGGAAGACTGATTTGGA